GATGTGAGATTGAAGAAGACGATTGAAAATTTTATGAAATTATCTGGTGTTCTATTTTCACGAGAGAGTATCTCGTTCTTCCCTGTTTACATATCACGTTCTACATCAGGAGTCCAAATCGAGTAAGTCCAGGTTGTATTTTATGGGACGCAAAACCGATTTATCAATGAAATAGCTCTGAAGTGTAGTGAGACGCTCCCCAAAAACATATAATTTTTTTTTATCGCTTCCCTTTTAAATTTATTTTTCTATTTTGCAACACAATTTCATAATACATAATTTCTGTGTTCTAACACAGTTTGCGTACTCTGTACTCTCCACCCTCGTTTTAAACACGGTTCACTGGCTCAACGATCTCCGATAACACAAAACTGTCGCACAAAGTTTAGGTGTCCATTCAAATCCCTAGATTCACTCACAAAGAACTACTCACAACGTGGAATAATTGGATCAAATTCAGATTCACAAGGAATCAGATTACTCAATTTCTAGTCTAGAGTTCACACATCTCTTTTATTAGATGCTGCTAAGATGACGGGCCTATTTACCGGGCTGTGGAAAACTTATTATTGGGCCATGGCTCAGGTCATTTGGGCCACAACATTAACACCGGCTATGGCTACCTCAACTCCGTCTTCCCCGGCTAATGTCCATTTGTCCATGCATCTGGTTGCCATCTACAACATCGGAATCTATGCTCGGCCCCCGTCGTTTTTGGACCCAATGACGGCTTTGATTACGAACTCCGGCGAGCTCCATCGTCTCGCCAGTCGGATTTTTCGGCTTCCATTCGGACTATTCTGGAAAATCGCTACTTCCCCTTCAATTTCCGGCGCCGTCCATGCACCTTCACTAAATTGCTTTGTCTATTCTTTTTCCCACCCCAAGACGATTCTAGCGCAACCCTTCAAACCCTCGACCGCGTCCATTCTGCGATTAGTCCATTTCGTCGTCCTTCGTGAGCTATTTTCCGTCCAAGTCTCTGCAGTTCCACCTCCGACGGCCTATCCGTGGCGGTCTTCTGCCACCTCAGCTTTACCGGTCATCAGTCAGCATCACAAATGCCCCAATTTCATACTTTCAGGTTGAGTTTGAGTGAGTCCCGGCTTCAGAAAAAAGTTTTCTGAGACTTAGGCCTTATAATTTGTCTATTATATGTTCTTTGCCCAATCTTTTCAGGTTTATGTTGTTTTTTCTTCCTTTTGTTTATGTTAATTGAAAAGATTGATGAATGGAATTGGTGAGTCTAGATTTATCATATATATAGCTGCTGTGTATGGTGTGGGTCACCCATTTACACTAATGTTATCATTGAACTGAAACTGCAGTTCTTGCATGAGAAGAATTTCAGACAGACAATACCTCAAGTTAAGGTGGCCGACGGCCAAGATATAACCTACGAGGCGGCCACCATCACACTCCGGCGGGCTGTTCATTTCTTCTCAGCCCTGCAAGCGAGCGATGGTCACTGGCCGGCAGAAAATGCTGGCCCATTGTTCTTTCTTCCACCTCTGGTGAATTTGTGTTCTGCTTGTCTCATAAATTAGTACACACACACATGTAGTTAACTATTTTCATTGTTGAAATGGAAACAAATGAGAGGTGAATGCAGGTTATGGTTCTGTACATTACTGGCAATCTCAACACTGTTCTCTCAGGAGAACATTATCATGAGATTCTACGGTACATATATTGTCATCAGGTGCATTATCTACTCTATAATATATTTCCTTTTGCAAATAAATACGTATTACGTTCATCGCATCACACTCGTGGCATAGTTTGAATAACAGAATGAAGACGGTGGGTGGGGTTTACACATAGAAGGCCGCAGCACGATGTTCTGCACAACCCTCAATTACATTTGCTTGCGTATATTAGGGGAAGGGCTGGAGAACAATAATCCATGCGCTCGATCAAGAAAATGGATACTCGATCACGGGACTGTGAAAATGATACCTTCCTGGGGAAAGACTTGGCTTTCAGTAAATTATCAATTAAAGGAGACAGTTATCTTTGCTTTCCCATTTGCAATGAAGTATACTGATATCGTGGTCTTGTGTGATTATAGATACTGGGCGTGTTTGAATGGTCGGGATGCGACCCGGTGCCCCCTGAATTTTGGCTTCTGCCGTCTTTTTTCCCCGTGAATCCAGGTCAACCACTTCCTTCAAAATGACTTTCAACTTTTAAGTCACATGTGGATGATATTGCAAAACTCCTCCGTTTTAAAAGAAATAGTTGTTGAGTTTTAAAATGTATATAATTCGAAGTTGGTATCATTTGCATTAAAAGTTGAGTAAGTCAAAA